GTGTGTGTGTGTGTGTGTAAGGGAACAGAAGATAGTGGGGAGGTGTGTGTGTGTGTGTGTGTGTGTGTGTGTGATCTGTAAAGGAATAGTAGAAACCTAACAGTTTATTTCTTAAATGCTACCAGAACAGTTTATATTACACAATTATTCTTTCAAATAAAACTAAATTCTAAAATAGGAAAAAATATATTTCCTGATGAAATAATTTCACACAGTGTTAGGTCATCACCTAACAAGAAATTCAGTTTGGCAGTTCTCCTAATGACCTCTCAGCATGTGCAGTTGACTGGAGATACACCTTTTGTTATTAAATTACAGTATATTGGTTATTTCAAAGATGACAACAGGATGGCAGTATTGACTTTTTCTTTTTTTTAATTTTCAGGCTGCATTTATTCTTCAGAATCTCCTTGTAATTCCAATGCCTACAGAAATTATAAAGGATTATACTTGGCAGGTGGGTGATTTTAAACAATTGTCAACCTAGTAGGTAATTCATTAATTGGTGATGAATGTTCAGCATATGTATATTTCATTACTGATAAAACTGTGTACAAGGCAGCAAGGATCTCCTAAAATAGAATTTAGAGATTTTCTTATGTTTGATCATGTTTAAAAATTCTCTGTAGTGTTAAAAATAATTTTAAACAAATAATAGCTAATGTGGTGTTTACCATGTACTAGGTAGTCTCTAGAAACTTAACACACATTAACTTGTGCCATTGTTTGAGTCATGAACTATCATTACCCTCATTTTGTAGGCTTAAACACTATAGTAGAGAGTTGAAATAGGTTGCCCTAAATCACATAGCTAGTCATTAATACACCTTTGCTTTGAGTCCAGGCTCTCTCTTTCCTCACTGTGTTGCCTCTCTAATTTAATTATAATAAATAAATCTATTTCTAGTTAAATATGCATTGATGTTAACATCTTTTTTTCTTTTTCTGGGTTAGTGCACAGTTTGGGTCATAATTTATCTTTCTTTGGTTTCTATTTGCTTAGTTCTTTGTTTTATGTTCTGAATGTCATAACATATGTAACAAGTATATAGTTACCTAACATTTTTATAGCTTACAATTTTTAGATAATTGGGAGGATACAAAAGTGCTCTCATTGGGGACATAAGATGTGCTCTTTCTCTTACCTATCCATGTACTCTTATCCTGTAAGTGTATATTGATCATAATAGTACATCTCACTCTGAGGATTCTGTACAAATCTAAGGTTTACTTTTGACTTTTCATAAGAACGGTACCCTTAGAGGAATTACTGAATCAAGGTGAGCTGCAGTGAGGGCAGCTTTTAGGGTATCACCTGAAGTATGAGTCCAGGTGGTCGTCAAGGCCCAGATTGCATTTAACTCTTGGGATTTCACTTCTCCAACTTTACAAACTCAGGTTAACACTGCCAGTTACTGTAAACCCCAGGCCACTTTTCTTCTGGTTCGTCGTAATTTCCTTAGCATTACCCTCTGATAATGGTTTCTCACTCAGTCTGTGTTTTAATAAAGCCATAGGAGACAAAACTGGAAGGAATATACAGGATTAATATTTATATTAATAGTGTAGTAGTTTTGATGCCTGTTATCCAGTGACTATATTTTAAAATGTGTTATTTTTAACTCAGATACAAATCATATCTACTTCCATTGTTAAATTAGTGACACTTGTGTGTGGATAAGCTTGGTGATGTACTGCCAATGAATTTTTTATTTTTGAAATAAGTATAATATAAAGCCAAGAGCAATAAGATTTTGGGGTTATATTAAAGCTCTTGGGACGTTATATTATAATAAAAAATCATGTATAGAAGTTGACATTTTTTCTCTTAGAAATGAAATAATAGTTCCTGTTTGTTGTTGGTGACACACTTACTGCAGTTTGTTGATTTTTGTTATTCTACAGTCTCCATCATGGAAATCATTTTCTACTGAAGAGTTGAAAATAGTGACTTAAGTGAGCTTTTGGAGTCTCTTGCCTAAGTTGGCCAAAATCAAAAAAGTTTGAGAGCCACTCTAATCTGAAACAGTTCTTAATGGTGAAACTTTTGCTACTCTTCAGCAAAATTAGAAAAATAAGGACAGTCTTGTGGGATTTTTAATAACTCAGATTTTATTCTCCACCCTCCCCTTTTTAAATTTGTTTTTGGTTATTATTTTTTGTTTTTAAGTGTTCTCACTTAGCAGTATAAATAGTTGGTAACTCGGTATTTGTCTCCTAATTTTAAAAAAAGTTTAGTGGTACCTGAAATTCCAAATTGGAAATAGCTGCTGTTTAGAAAGAAAGATAGTCTTCAAATATAGATGATGGAGTTTTGTAATCTCCAAGAAGATATGACCTTTGCAAGTTTACTATAGCCAGAAAGAGCCTACATATCCAGTATTCTAAACTTAGAACAGTCTTTAGTGGAGGAACAAAGAATTTTATTCAACAAAATGTTTCCTTAATTTATCTTGGTGTATCTTTACAGTATTTTTGTAGAATATAGCATGAAGTAGCATGTCTAGGAGCCTTGTTAAAATTTTATTTTGGTGTAGGTTGATATTTGTGTGGTTTTTTGTTTGTTTTTTTAACAAAGAGAATTAGAATTACTTTTACTCTTTTGCTCTTTGTTTTGATACTTGAAGTCTAAATTGATGCCTTCTAATACTCTTGTTCCACTTCTTTGAACCCCATACAACCAGCATAAATTCCTATTTCATGTCACTATCTGGAATTGTTATACTTCTGAGTATTAATAATATGCATATATAAATTGTCAATTATATTATTAGCTGGGTTTCCCTTCTAGAATTGAATGCTAGAAAATTTAGAGCCTTCTTATCAAATGTGGCTTTTCTCGTATATCTATTTTTTAGCTTTATTCGTGGTTCTACTTTTTTTATACCTTTTTTTTCTTTCTTTCATATCTGCTATACTGTTACTATCATGTTACAATTTACCTTTTCTTGTCATAGGCCTTAAATCTTTTCTGGAACAAGGTGGGGATTAAATAATTTAAAATATTTTAATTTTAAAGTCTTTTAAAAAAAATACCTTCACTAAACTCTGCAGTCAATTTTAATCTTCCTCTTTGCTGAAAGACACTAGCATTTAATGTTTTCACCATTAAATTAGGTTCCTTTCCATATATTACTTTTACTGCTTTGCTTTATTTCTTACCATTTAACTTAGTTAATCTTTGTAAGTAGAATATTTGTTTCTGGAAGTTAGGATAGTATTTCTTGATATTTTAAAAAATATTTCTTCCAGCCCCCACCACAGAAAAGATAGGTGCTTCATCAGTCTTTGCTGATTTATTAAAATACACAAAGCATTCAGTTTGTTCTCTTGATCTTAAATGATATCATTAAGTAAATAAAGTTAAAAATAAAGTCTTAATTTCTGTAGCATAAAATTCTGTTTATTTTTCCATGGATACAGAGATGTACTGGAAGTAGGGTGGTCGCAAAGAGGAGAAGCACAACGTCCCTTCGTGCCCAGCATTCCTAATAGGGCCTTGAAGCCAGGTTTCTGCTGGATGTGGGAACCTAGTTCTTGCTGAGTCAGTCCTCGGTGTATCATAGCTCTTTTATATTCAGGGCACTACTTTTTAAGGGAGATGTTTATAAATATTGGTCTTGTTCTTGAATGAAACTTAGCCTCATTAAGGCTATATACCTCTCTTAAGGAGGAAAACAGTGTCCAAGTGACATGAAACTGTTGTGGCTCCCAGCTGCTCGGTGTTTCGTAATCTAGTTTCCCACAGTCTGGCTAGGTGTTAATACTCCTGAATGTGGAAGGTTCTGTTCCTGGGTTTAGTTTGAGATCCAGTGTTATAAATCCATATTCCTACAACTTTAACAACCAATTTCGGAGTTGATTGTAACAACAAATCTACTGGTCAGAGGGGAATTATCTGTGTAGTTTGCTTTAGTTCATTTCTGTAGATATATTATGAGTGCCTAAATGTTGGGGATTCACAGATGATCAGATTTAGTGCTCTGGCACTTACGGCTGCAGGGGAAGACAAAGACATACCTAGGATACATTTTTAAAATACTTTATGTGTGATGATGGTAGCTTATGCGTAATTTTTGTAGTATTAAAGTTGTCCTTTCCACTTGAATATGGTATCACATTTAAATGTGAAGGTAATTTTATGTACTTAAATAATGTAATAGGTTGTTGGTTTATGATGGTAAATATACTTGTCTATGCTTTAATTCCTTTCCACGTTTGTGATAGGACTTTGAATTGAAACCTACACTTTATTTTTTTAAAAAAAACTTTTTATTTTGAAAATAAAGTAAATTTATAGAAAAGTTGCAGAAACCGTATAATTTTCATATAACCTTCACCCAGGTTCCCCAAATTATTTTGCCATATTTGCTTTAGCTCCGTCTGTTCATTTAGCATCTTTTTCTGAACTCTTGGAAAGTTGTATATACAATACTTCTTTTTCCCTAAACACTTAAGTGTGAATTTCCTAAAAACAAGTATATTCTCTTACATAATCAACAATAATAATTACCAAAATTAGGAAATTGCTCAAGTTTTCCAATTATCCCACTACTGTCCTTTGTAGCAAACAAAACAAAACAAAAAATACCCAGGATCTGGGATCCAGTTCAGGAATACATGTTGCATATTGTCATTATATTTATTTAGTTTCTTTCATCTGAAATAGTTTCTAAATCTTTAACATTTATGACCTTAGCATTTTTAAAAAGTGCAGGGTATTTATTTTCATAATATCCTTCAGTTAGATTTGTCTGTTTCCTCATGGTTAGATGCAGGTTATGCATTTTTGCAGAAAAACCATAGAAATGATATGTTCTTCTCAGTGCATTATATCAGGAGATATTATATCTCTTTTTTCTATTACTGTTGATATTCACTTTGATTACTTGGTTAAGATAGTCTGCCTTTTTTCTCCATTGTGGAGTTACAGTTTTTCCTTTTGCAAGGAGGTACTTTGAGACTCTGTAAATGTCTGTTTCTCATCAAAATTTCTTTCACTAGTTTTAACTTCTATTCGTGATTCTTATCTGAAGGAATTATTACAGAAAGGTTGCCAAATGATTTCCGAGTTTCATCATTCCTTTCTACATTTATTACATCCTACTGTAAGGAAGAGCTTTCCTTTCTTCCCCACTTATTTATTCACTTATTTGTTTACACCAATGTGGGCTCCAGGATTCTTGGTTAGTTTCATGGGTTATAATCTGTTTCTATCAATACACATATTTGTTTAGATGTTCAAATTGTTCCAGCTTTGGCCAGGGGGTGTCTTCATGATTTTTGTGTCCTTTTAACATGTCTTTATCAATCTTTGAGCATTTCCTTACTTTCTTGTACAATGAGGTGTCCTAGACTCTCGCAGCGCCAGCCTGAAATCAGGTATTTGCTCAAAGGGCCCAGATTCCTGGAGAATGACATTTAGAGGCCAGGATCTAGGTCCTGGATATGTTCATTGTTTCCTGTGTGTCACTTCTTCTGTGCCTCCTCAGTGGACAAAGCTGGTAACTCTCTGTGGATGTGTTTGTGTGTATGTGTGTGTGTTAGGTAGATAGTTGACTCATTTATAGTTACTGTATATGTTATTTGCATAATTGATATTAATATGCATATTTTATCTTTTAATGTGTTTATCATGAAGCATTATGAGTATTAATTTTACAAAACTGAATATTTTGGAGAAGTGATGTCATTTTAATGGTATTCATAATTTATATATAGTTATTTGGATTGTATTATAGTATTTTTTTATTTGTTATATATAAAAATAATTCCTATTCTTGAAAATATTAATTCTCTTCTTAAATGTAATTCTTACTTTGCTTCTAGTTCCTTTATGATAATAGCTAATGAGTAAATTAGCACTGTGATATTAGGAACAAAATACATGTTTTAGAATTAATATTCTAGTTTATTACATCTTTGAGAACAGTATTTTCAAATTTAATTGGAGCTTTCTATGTCATAATTAATTTGCAGTTTTCTTTTGAAAATTTATTTGTAATGGCACCTGGTGATTTGAAGAGTTTTTTCCTTGAGTGCTGTCCTTCTCTGCTCTCCCTGGCAATTCAACAGGTGATCTGGCAGCCTGGCACTCACCCGAGGGCAAGGCTGGTGAGGACAAAGACATCTTGAGACAGAGCAGTTAGACCGTGCTGATTTCCCCACTCTGCTAGAAGACAACCCCGTTAATTACTGATGGATCTGTGGAGCAGAGCCTAGTGCATGCATGAAAGGCTTCATTGTTCTGGCCCTTGTGCCATTAGTGATCTGTGGAAAGCCTGAGTCAGGCCGTCTTTTGTGCATATGCTGGGTTTGGCTCCACTGCCATTAGTTAGCTCTGTTGATTACATGCCATTGCTACTGGGAGGCTTTGGTATGTGGAGAACAGAGATTCAGGCTTAATGCTCAGTTAAAATAAATCAAATAAAAATAAACAGTTATGTAATATGTACATATTCCAATCATTTGGTTTTTAAAAAGTTAAAAAATATCTTGAATGTACTAATTATTTGAATGTTTTAGAAGAATTTTTTTAAGTAATAAATAAATACTAATAGAGCTTATAATGAAATTCACTACTCCTCTCCATTGACTGAGACAGTTTTATTTCTCTGATTTTAATTCCTTAGGGGGTAATGTTTTTGTAATAATATCTTTATTTCTTAATTGCGTTTTTGCAATAATATGTTTATTCCTTCACTGCTTTGATGTATATGGATTTAGCTCATTTACAGTCTCCTGTTGGTATAGTTGGATTACTGTTCTTGGTTTCTTTGCTGGTCCACTGCTGTTGCTGAATACCTCTTGCCTCCTCCATCCCCGACTGACCCCCTCCATTAGAAGATGAGTCATATGTAGCTGAGACATTCTTGTCCTCTCTTCAGTCTCACTTCCCTCACTTCTAATGCTAATTTTTACCAGATTTACTTTTGCATTGTGAGGGTTAATTATGTTTCCATTCTCTTCTGCAGTGTGAATTTTATCTATAGGTTGATTGTAAAAATTGAAAACCAGTCATTCAGTACAGAGCCACTTAGTGGCTATTGTTAGACTTATTTCTGCTTCCAGAGCCATGACCCCCCTGGCACTCAGAGGAAACATTTCCTGGTATTTATTTGTATGTTTATATGTATTATATATGTGCACATATGTGTGTGTGTATGTTTATAAATCTAATTTAAAAAATTGATTTGGGTGATTTTTTTCTTCTTGGAGTTTGTTTTTTCTTGCATTTTGAGTTCATATCACGTCTGAAGTTTTTCTAAGCTCTAATCATCCTTTATCTTCTGTTAGAGCCTTTTTTTGTAGTAATTATCCTCAAAATGATTGTACTCCTACCTAGTAAAAAGTACATGAGAGATAAACCCCATGAGTTCTTGCATATTTAAGAATATCTGTAAATTGTACTGGGTTGATAGTTTGACTCAATACCAGATATTAGGTTGAAAACTAGTCACTGTCTTCTAGCATCCAGTGCTGTGGATGAGAAGTCGGATTCCTGTTTGATTCTTTTCACTGGCTGAGTTTTTGTTTTATCATCTTCTTTGTATCCTTGATATATAATTTGATGATTATGTGTCTTTTTTCTATTTCTCTTGCTTGACGCTCACTGAGCTCCTTAATTTGAAGACTTGAATGTTGTATGTTTTTTTGGCTTTAGTGAATTTTTTCATATTTTTTACTTTAAAAATGATTTCCTTTTTCTGTATTATGTTTTACCTTTCCAGAAATCATATAAGGCCCATATTAGGTCTCTTGAATTGATTTCTTTGTCTCCTTATCCTCTTATACTTCTATCTCTGTCTTTTTCTGAGATATTAATTTTTTTATTCATATCCAAATTTAGGTGAGTTTTTTCAGTCCTGATAGTCATTTTCACCATGATTTATAGGCATAGAAAAAAAAATCAGGTTCTAAAACTTTATTAGATAGATTTGATTATAAATTTGTTTCTTATAAGTTCTTTTTATCTTTGTGTTCTAAATCTGTTTTTTTCTTTTTATATTAGTTCAAACTAGAGAAAAATGAATTTTTAAAATTTATTCATTGAAGTGTAATTATGATTGGATTAATTAGATTTCTTACCACTGTGATAATTTTACATATTTAGGGAATAAATTACAAGTGCCACTATCATACTTATATATCCTCTCTCTTTGAAAGTACTTTTAACTAAAGAAAAGTTGGATTTTCTTTTCAAACAGCGATGTCTTATCCTTAGTGCCTCATAATAGATCCTGTTCAGACATGTTATAACAAGTTAGTATGTATCTGTTTTGGTGGAAAAAAATGTTCATGAACTTTGAAGACTTCTCGTTTATTTAGAAAAATAGTATTTGTACCAGTTTGAATAATTTCGTTTTATTGATTTATTGAGTTTTGTTAGGTGGTTGGAGTTAAGCTAGCAAATTTAGCTAAACTATAATTCTCATCTGGGTAGTTAATTTCTTCTCTGAATTATGATAATGAGGGCTTTTCTTTGTGATGTTAAGCCACTATTGCAAATCTCTTTTGGGTTTGACATGTTCTGTATTTAAGAATGTTACAATGTGCTTAACAGAAGGAAGGTTTCAAAGCTACAAATGTTAAGATTGTGGTATTGGATGAATACTTCACCCTAGATAAAAGGCAATGCATTAAAAGGCCGCATTCCTTGTAACATATACCTTGGTTCATAAACAGGAGACATGTGACCCAGTTCTCCTTGTGTTTTTCTTTGTTTCACCTGGTTTCTTTCAGATCTCTGAATTTAAAATGACAATGATGACCATTATCTGCTGGCTGTTCTTTGAATGGTATTATTTGATGATATCCATAAAAAGAGTGTTAATAGAAATAATATTGTTAGTGTAATTATACCTTTAACTTGTGAATTACTTTATCTTCCTGAAGAGTAAGTTTTGATATCCATCTTCCCTTGGTGGTGGGGAGTGGTGAGAGAAGAGATATACATAAATCTTATGGTTAAAAGTAAGCTTTGAATATGCTTTGACCACAGCTTTCCTTTTGGCACTTAGATTTCTATTTTCTGTCTTTTATTTTTCCCTCTCTTCTATGGGCTGTTTTAAATCTTAGCTTTATAGATTATCATTTTCCAGAAAATAAAAATATTTATAAGCTAATGATAGAATTACAGTGTTTGCAAACTTTAAACCAATCCTCATTGCTTTGTTGTTGCCATTGGATATTCCAGGAAAAGTAGTGAAAGGTAATGCAAAAGAATTATTTGTAGAAACATGCAAAGAGATAATGTGTGATAGCAGATTCTTCTCCACTTCCTTTTGGCAGAGGTGTGTGTGTGTGTGCGCATGCATGCATGTGTGTCTGTGTGTGTTGTTTACTTTTTTTTTCCTTGTCAGGGTTAATTATGTAGGAAGTAATGTGGAAAACAGATTTTGCCATGGCTATTGATGAGTCTTGTCATTTCATTTGTCTTATTGATCTGTACAAAAAATAATTTTTTTTTTTTTGTCTTTTTTTTGTGTCCGGCAACGGATCGCAACCCTCAGTGTCGCGCCTGTACCGGACCGGGACCGGCAACGGGACTGCAACCCTCGGTGTTGCGCCCACACCTCGCTCAGCCAGTGAGCGGGAACCGGTCTGTATGTGGGATCCGAACCCTCAGCGGGAGCGCCGCTGCGCTCCCAAGCGGTGCACTGATACAGTGCGCCACCAGGCCGGCCCAAAAAAATAATTTTTAACATAACTACTTGAACTGTGTTATTTCTGATATTTTAATGCTTATTATTTTACTATTGTAAGTTGAATAATACTGCTTTTATCGTGTTTGTGGCTCAATTATATAATAATTTGGTTAAAGCTGATCATTTCATAGAAATATTTTAAATGAAATGACTTCTTAAGAGATATAGCAGATCAGCCTTCTGCCTTCAGCGGGTGTTTAGGCAGCAAAAACCTAGAGTATTAGGAAATAATTAGCCCTAGGCCAGGCTGCTGTAACATGGAAGGACAGAGACAGAGTGGAAGGAATATGGTGCATCTGGGACCTGTTTGTTTCATTAAGAGGAGACAGTGGATATTTTTGAAGAAAGTGTGTGATAAGTCAGTGTCTCTCTCTTCTCTTCCTCTTTTATTACAGGGCCCCTGTGTCCATGATGAAGACTCTGGCCTATCACTTGTAGGAAAACCTGCCCTTCAGGCTCTTTTATATCACTGCCATTTTTATGAACATTTGAATCAGATGGTAAAACATTGTTACCTACTGTGGTATGCATTTGATTTGAATTTTTCTGCTTTTGATAGAACTTCAGAAGGCAGTGATTCAAATGGTAAGTACAGTATCTTTATATTTTTGTTTTTACAAAATTTAATTTTTTAAGATTTTAAAAACACGTGTGTGTTTAAAAAATATTTGGAAAATAATGAAAAGTACGCAAGAAAAATACTCATCTATAGTCTCACTACCCAGAAAATACTCTTGTTATGTTAGGGTATATTTTCTTCCAGTTTTCTTTTTCTGTATAGCTTTTATTTGTTTTGCATAATTTTGTTCATATCTTAGGTACATTTTTGTATTCTTTTTTTCACTAAACATTGCCTAAGCATTATTCTATGTTATAATTTCTTTGTGGAAACCATTTTTAACATCTTATTCATATTTCATGTTATTTTGTCTTTCAGTAAAGTTTTGTAGTTTTCTTCCTCTTTTAATGTCTTAAACTTTTTTGGGATGTTCATTTCTAAATAGTCTACAGTTTTTTATTTACCCTTCTTGTGAACGAGACCTTTTTCTACTAAAGTTTTAAATTTGTTTCGCTAATATATCAAAAAGCTATTTATTTTTGGCATGTTACTCATTTATCAAAGTATCTTGCTGAAACTTCTTTACCTCTGTTTGTAAATTCTTTTGGATTTGCTAAGTATAAAATCTTAACATGTAAATACTAATTGTGTTTCATAATAATAATAAAAGTAGGTAGTTTTTTTTTTTTTTTAAAGATGACCAGTAAGGGGATCTCAACCCTTGGCTTGGTGTTGTCAACATCACGCTCAGCCAGTGAGCCAACCAGCCATCCCTATATAGGATCCGAACCCGTGGCCTTGGTGTTATCAGCACCACACTCTCCCGAGTGAGCCATGGGCCGGCCCAAAGTACGTAGTATTTTTAAATTAATTTTTTAAAAGCAGTTTTTAAAAAATCTTGACATAATTTTGCATGTACAGAAAAGATTCAAGATTAGTTAGAAAAATTCCCAAATGTAACCTTTTTACTGTATTTACCCCCTACACCATGTGTGCACATGTGACTATGAATACAATTTATTTATATGTATATATTTTTTCTGAGCCATTTAAGAGTAAGTTGTAAGCATGAAGTTCATTTACTCCTAAATACTTAAGTTTGAATTTATAATTCATTTTTCTGTTCATTTCTTGGAGGAAGTAAGAAGGTAATGACATTTGATGAAGTTTTTGAACAGTCTAAATAAATGTTCCTGTTAGGAAAGTGACTCATGTAACTGTTTGGATTTCTCTGGATCAATGTTACTCAAAGCATGGCTTTTGAACCAGTAGAATTAGTATCTTCTGTGAGATGTTCGCAATGCACATTCATGGCCCCCACCCTGACTCAGAGTGTTGGCATCTCTGGGACTAGAGCTCAGGAACCTGCATTAACAGGCTTTCAGTGATTCTTATGCACATTAAAAAACCTCTTTCCTTAGTTCTTGATTGGTTTCCTGTAATGAGTATTCTTTCCGTTAATTATTATAGTACCCAGGAGAATGTCTGTGCTAATAGTTTTCTTGTTGCTGCAGGTTTAGATGAGTCATTCAAGTTTTGGAGGGCTTCATCTAGGATATCCAGTCAAGACCGAGATCCGAGTTCTCTCTCCACCTTGGAAACAATGGTACTTGCAATGGATGCATAATTGCTTTATTTTGAATAACTGAAAAAAATTTAATTTGCATAATGGAGAGATAAGAATGGATAGGAAGTATAAAGTTATGATTATAACAGCTATGATTTATTTGAAATGCTATCCATGCAGAATTCTGCTATTTACTTAAATTGCTGTATTTAACCTATACATCAGCCATATGTGAGAGATACTTTATCACTTTTCCAGATGAGCAAGTCACTCAGAAGTTAAGTAACTCTGTGATCAATAGTGCTGTAGTAGAGTTGGAATTTGAACTATTTTTTGCCTCACTCCAGGATAGCTACACTGAATATCCATTCAGTTGAGTTTTCAACCTCTCTTTTCTACCTTTTTTGATAGAACCAGAAATACAAAAGTGTAAAATGTTTATCACTAGTAACTCTGTACCCCACAGATATGTTACAATAAAATATTAAAGGAATAAAAACGAAAATCAAACCTCAAAAAAAAAAAAAAATGGATCATTAGTAGTAGTAGAAGAGAACAAATCTCATAGGATTGAAAATCCTTGATTATCCTGAAATTTTGCTTAAGGACAAGACAATGCAGAGAAAGTTGACCCATTCAAATGATTCCAGTGCGTTATACATTTCTAAATACTTGCATCAGATAGAAGCTTGTCTTGGTTATCTCAAACACCTGAAATTTATGTATGCCTGCCTGCTGCCGTTCTTCCTTCCTCTTTCATTCATGCATAAGCTGCTTTGTTCCAAAAAAGTTTGAGACACGTAAGTATTTCTAGTTAATGATTGATACTAGGTTTCAGTTTTTTACAAGCATACCAAACCACATATTCTCAACTGAATGCATAAGCTGCTTTGTTCCAAAAAAGTTTGAGACACGTAAGTATTTCTAGCTAATGATTGATACTAGGTTTCAGTTTTTTACAAGCATACCAAACCACATATTCTCAACTGAAAAATAGTACATTTAATTTTAAAGTGTTTTTGGAATAAGTACTGTATTGTAGAACTTATTAGGAAGGCAAAGGTTTGAGACCCTGCCTGCAGGAACAAAAATAATAGGAGAATAATAAATATATATATATATTGATAAGACTTACCTCTTACAGTGTCTCAAAAGACTGGCACTTTTTTGGGATAATTACTTCAGATCCACTAGATGTCATGCTTTCCTTTCCAAGCGAAAGTGTGTCTTTGTCTCAACAAGAGAAATAAGATGAGTAAATGTCAAAATGAGTTGTATTAATTGGTTATTTAGTTCATAGAAGGGCAGCATCAATATCTGCTTAAAAATAATTATTCTTTGGTTATCCTATTGTTAAAAGTGCTATAGACTAGCATAGAAATCTTTGTACATTCTCCAGTTCTTACAGTAAGTACTCAGTAAATAGTAATTGCTCTAACTTTGAGTTAGCTGTTTTGTAGATGCCACTGAAGTTGTATCTATCCTATACAAGATCTAAGTACAGAAAAGCAAAAGCAATTCAGACTTTTGCATTTTTCTATTTTATAATATATAAATCTTACATATTAGAATACTAGATTTTCTTAGAAAAACTTTGGAAATATGAGGGTACTTCAAAAAGTTCATGAAAGATTTGTATTATCTTTTAATTCTTTTTCCATGAACTTTTTGAAGTACCTTCATATGTTATTTATTGTAATCATTATTAGGGTGGCGCACCTTCATTGATGTTAAGGTTATTAACTTGTTTGTTTTTGGATATCACACAGACTTTCAGAAATATATACCAATGAAATCTTTTAGGCTTTTCTTTTTTAAAAGAATTTTTATGTATAGTCTTATGTATATAAGCTTTTTTTAAAAAAGAATTTTTATATATAGTCTTTGTTTCTTTTTTTTTTTTTCTCAAAAGAAGACTAGTATTTTCTGTTAGAATTTGTAGTCAACTCTTTTCTTTTCTTTTTGATTCCAAATGGAGGTTTTGGAATTGGTGACTTTATTCACGGAAATAGTCTAATTAGCCTGATTCTACTAATTGTCATGTTTCCTTACCATGCCTTACATAATGTATATCTTTGTTTCAACAAGAGAAAAATCTGTACAGTTTATTTATTACGCCAGTATTACTTTAAGTCAAAGCTGTTGTAAGACCTGTGCACCATGCACAAATCCCACATGTCGGGATGGCTCACCTCACAAAGACCACAAGATAGAAACCGTTGCAATAAACATGAGGTTTTATTATTCCAGCATGCTGGGGTCGTTTCGTCTCCAGGACAAAAGCGGCCTCCAGTTTACAATACAAGCACCTTTTATACATTTTTTCCTGAACAGATTTTATGACAGGATGAGTTGTTGGTTATCTGTGGCGCCCTTGGATTTATGGGCAGACTTTAGCAGGCTGGCACCCCGATAGATCTAGATCTGTGGCACCTTTAGATTTACAGGTGTGCTTTAGCAGGCTGGTACCCCTGATAAGGAACAGTGCTTCTCTCAATCGTATATCTTCCCTGGGGTCTGGCCAGGAGGCTCTTAGATAAGGAGCTGGTTAGTTAGTTCCTGGGACCAGCTCGTTCCTGGAATTTTAGTGTGTCTGGGTCTGCCTGATCTCTTAGAAGCTGCTTTACTTAAAATGCCTTTAGTTATGTTTTCCCGTTTTTAGCAAGCGTTTGCAGAAGCAAATTGTGCAGGTTAAAGTTATACTTTACTCTTACACTCTCAGTACTTAGACTATCTACTGTTTTCTCAAGTATAAGAAAATGCTACAAATTGAGGTAAAAGTTGAGAGCATGTAATCTTGCTAATCAGCTTATCTGGTTATTTATATATATATATATATTTTTTTATCTTCCAGAATTGATAAAAGATACAATTTGTTTATTGGTTGGTTGGTTTTTCCACTTTGTCTTTCTAAGTGAGGTACTATCTTGTGATTTTGGTCCTGTTCTCCAGTATGCTATTGTTGAGTCATTATCTATATTGTGCTGTTAATATCCCCTTAGGGGCTTTAATTGTGTTATCTGTTAGTTGTTTGGCAAGCTTTCTAAGGATTGTTACCTATCTGTTTTATAAACTACAAATAGAGTAAGTACAGTGTCATTGTCACCTTGGGGGAATTGCCCTTGTAAATACCTCATCAGAAGTGGCCTCCATCCAACTCATTGTTCTCTTCTCCCAGGGTAGGAGGAGTCAGATATTAGATGTCGGTTTTCCTCCTGAAATCAGATTTCTACTTCTCAAAAGTGTTCAAAATGAATAGGTGTTCATGCCTAGTACGTATCAGTGTCCAGCAACAGCTTTATGACCAAAATTTGGTCTTTGCTGCTGCTCTTGAGCAGAATTATGTCTGTATTTTAAGAAAATGTTTTATCAATTGCCAAATTATGTTGGAAATGTGGTTTTCTTCTTTTTGAGCTTTTCTTTGTGAAATATGTGATTCCTTTCAAACTTTCTGGAGCACACATTTAAAGAACACTGATTTTAGGTTACTTGAACATTTAAAGATAAATTTTACTCATGGGTCTTCAAAATCTTAAATAAACCAGAAAGTAATTCTTAATATCACTATTTTACAAAAGAAGAAATTAGGGCATGGAGTAAGGTCCCAGTCTATGGAGCGGACCCTTGTTCAAGGTGCCAGCACCAGTAACTAGTAGAGCATTCTTGGAATCTAGAAGTACATTTGGCTCCAGTTGTTTTTCATGATGTTACACTCCTTCACTCCATAGCCAGATGTGATTGATGCCATAATAGATGTTACAATCAAAGGGCAGTGAGGTCACATTAGAAGGAATGATACAATGGAAAGTGATTTTGTACAGGAAGTTGCAATTGTGAAATGGGCTTTAAAGGACACTAACCGCTTTTCCCCTTTTATATGTATGCACACATTTGCAAGGTTCTTAAAAGATTCAAATATGTCTTAAGATTCAATACCCACTTACAAGAGTTAAAAGTCTAGTTGAGAACATAAAATATAGCTAGAAAATAACTGGACACTAAGTTGTTTTGTACTGAAAGCATTAGACATTCAGAAAATGCATGGGGTTGTTTGGAGTGGAGTGTTGGGGGAAGACCAAAGTTTGATTACTAGAGTAACCAGATGGGGGTTAATTAAGAAAGCTGTGCCAGCTTTTGGATTTGAAGAGATAAGATAAAGCTGTAAAGATATTTCAGCAGAATGAAATGGTGTGAAACATTACAATTAACATTAGAGAAATAATGTATTGACATTTGTTTGATGGTAGTTAAAAATTGTTTTATAGAATGAAGAGTAGATCCAAGAGGCTTTTTAGAAGAAAAATGGTTTTTGACATAAGCATCAGTGATAGGGCATATACCTACCTCTAGTGTGGTAGCCCCAGGAAAACTTGGGGAGATGGTAGTTTGCATTATGGTGGAGAGAGAGAAAGAGTGATATACTTTGTTTAAATAAATTTCAACTACCTATGGATTACCCGGGGCTTAAAATCTTATATATTTTAGTTAGAAGGAAATACAAGTGAAATTCTAGTTCTTAAGTATTGTTAATATAGGCCACTGGGCGTAGTACAGTGAAAATGAGCAAGTTTTTTTTTTTTAATGTAAAAATTTAATATTGGGGCTGGCCCGGTGGCGCACTAGAGAGTGTGCTGCTTGGGAGCGTGGCTGCGCTCCCGCCGAGGGTTCGGATCCCATGTGGAGACCGGTTCCCGCTCACTGGCTGAGCGTGGTGCGGGCGCAACACCGAGGGTTGCGATCCCGTTACCGGTCAGTAAAAAAAAAAAGGAAAAAAAAAAATTTAATATTGATTTTATTAATAAAACTTACATATTGATGTTTACTGATAACCTAGTTATTAGTTTTTTTCTAATATAATAATGTTTTAGTGTGTAGCTTTAGAATGAATACAATGGCAGGTAAAGATAGAATATTCATTCTGTTCTATGTTCTATGTATTACTTTGTAAAGAATTACCCTTTTTAAAAAGAAAGAGCAAGTAATATTTCTTTTGTTTTTCTTGGTACTTTATTCTCACCTTGGTAAATTTTGAAATTTTC